ATATATATATATATATATATGATATACACGAGTATATAATGGATATAATGAGAATATATATGTATGTATATACATATAGATACATAATATGTAATTCATCGAGTATTATTGTATATCACAAAAAATGATGAACTGAAATATGTTGAGAAACAACTTGTACATCGGTTAAACTTATAATCACGTCGATGCATAATACAAATGATTGCAAATGAACTTTGATGTCGTAATTTTTGCTTCAAATCGTACAGATGAAATTGCCAAACAGATATACGGTTAGAATACGCGGTGTAAAGAAACATTAAAGTCCTGAGATTTCGCTGAGAAACGAAATATCAGCACAAACGTTTCGCGTAATGCAATTTACTTGGTGCACGAAAGTCAATATACGTGATGCATGCTACGACCTGCGAGTTAGGTTAACTGCTAGGCCAACAACAATGTGAACGGCAAAGACATTACGAGTAACAGCGAATTAATTTTCAATCTTAGAATTAAATGTTACGCGGAACGAAGGCGAGTGAAAAGATCCGCTGGAAAGTAAAAGGGGAACTTACTTTCACATATTTACGTCAAACTTAAATTGCACCGGATTACTGATATGTGGTTCGCTTTAACGAAAAACTGCACCGCCCTCGCGTTAAACATTTATGTTACTTTCAGTCAGAAACACTGAAAATTTCCCATGACCGCGAACAGAAACTGCAGAAACGTACTATCCGTTTTATACGCCAGCGAATCGTAAATACAAAGCTCACATGTACCGAAGGGAACTTTTTAGCATTCGTGTACCATGGTCCTCTCAGTCTGCGAAATAAAAGATCCTACACTCACGCAGCGCGAAATGTCAGGTTAGAGAAGCTAGTGTCGTGAAGTAAATCCATCGAGAATGTCAGCGTTCACTTCTATGAAAATGTTCATACGCCTTCGGCGAAGTTACAATGGAGCAAATAAATACCGATCGATTTCATTAGTACGTGCATTTTCTTTTTTTTTTTACATTCTCTCGGTATTCTCGAGGGTGTTTTATGCCACTAAGGCGTTTGTACCGCTTGTGTCAGACACACATGGAAAATTACTAATCTGCGGTGTGTCAATGATAATGTAACTTGACAAGGGCATTAACATTTATTACATTTGTTCGAATTTTTTTTTTTTTTTCATTTTGTTGAATGTCTTTCGACGATTATCACGATTAATATCTCGCTTCAGAGTCCTTTCACCTCCCACGACGAGCAAAGGAAGACAGATATAGAGACAAAACGGAGAGAGCTGATGGCACGTGGCCTTCCGAAATCGAAACCTCTGAAAGGTGTCAAACAAATTGTAGTCGTAGCGTCTGGAAAAGGTGGCGTCGGTAAATCTACCACCGCCGTAAATTTAAGCATCGCTTTGAAACTGACCGAGCCGCAAAAATTGGTCGGTCTGCTCGATGCCGATGTATTCGGCCCATCAATACCGTTGATGATGAACATACGACAATCTCCTACGGTGAACGACACAAATCTTATAGAACCTGTTGTAAACTATGGTATCAAATGGTGAGGGGACAGTGATTGCACATTTTTCTTGTATATTTATCGATATTCTCTAAACTGTGAAAGTTTCCTCCATACGCAGCATGTCTATGGGCTTTCTAATTGATGACAAATCTCCTGTTATTTGGAGAGGATTAATGGTAATGAATGCCATTGAGAAACTGTTGCATCAAGTCGCATGGGATCCGTTAGATTATCTTGTTATAGATACTCCACCTGGAACAGGAGACACGCACCTTTCAATCATACAAAATCTTCCAATAGCTGGGGCCTTATTAATAAGTACACCTCAGAAGGCAGCTCTGGAAGTAACCAGAAGAGGAGCTAACATGTTCAAACGTCTCAACATTCCAATTATTGGAATTGTAGAAAACATGAGCAGTGTTATATGTCCGAAATGTAATAGTAGCATTCCTCTTTATAATGGTGAAACACAAGTGATTGCTAAAGAACTTGGTATTACTATTTAGCATATATAAATATCGAGCATATATAAATACATATATATCTCAATGTAAGGTTTCAGCTTTTCCTCTTTTCTAGATGTGCAAATTTTACAATCTGTCCCTTTGTCAAAAGATATTGTAAATAGTTGCGATACTGGTAAACCAATTGTGTTATCTGCACCAGAAAGTACTCAAGCTGACGCATACAAGTACTTGGCGAAACATGTAATTTCGTTCTTAGCCAAGCAACCACTAAATTTAGAATGATATTTTTAAATATTTTCTTTCGATTATAACTTTTTTGTACGAATATGGAGGTATACAAAACATACGGATATTTTAAAATTAGTACACTCTGATTCCTCTGTTCCTATCATTAGCATCATCATCATCGTCGTCGTTATCATCATCCCCACTTTCCTTTATATCTTATCCCCTCTCTTGAAGGGACATTATACGTCGTACATATGTTTCAATTTGTTATCTTGAATATAGCTCGGTAATGATAAAAGTAAAAACGCACGTTTATCCAATGTGTAATAAAAAAATTACTCGTATGCATAACGCGTAATAGATTTTTGTAATTATTTTTAATATCTTACTTGTACATTAGCATTATTATTAATGCTTTCACTTGGAACAAAACAATTTGTAACGTTTTCTTCGACGTCATTGCAAAAATACTTGCGTAAGAAAATGTTAACATAATTCTAACGCTTTCCATCTAAATTGAATATTTAGCCTCTTATTTTATTTTATAAATTTAGAATTCAAGATGAATAATGAAAATTCCACTAGTATTCATTCGGATGTAAATGCAGAGATTCATAATATTCCGATGAGCGTGCTTATTCGACCAATTCCTCCAATCGTCGATGAAGAGAAGGTACAAAGCTTGATAGATACGTTGAACAATCCTGAAACAGAATCATTGGTACCGCCAATCGATGTTTTGTGGATCAAAGGGAGCGAAGGTAATAAAAGTATACTATCTTGTTTCTCTTTCTTATTCACGACATATATAAAATGTATATAAAACAAACAACTCAATTTTGCACAATAATTGTATCTTTCTTTATTTTAGGTGGTGATTATTATTATTCTTTTGGTGGATGTCATCGATACACAGCTCATCAAAGACTTGGAAAACCATTCATAAGAGGGAAATTAGTACAGTCTACAATAACAGACTTAAAGTCTTATTTAGGCGGTTCTACTCCCAATTTAAAATAGCCATATTTGTACGTATTGCTTTTAAATTTGGCAGAAGCAGTATTTGTATGAAATATTAATCGATTTATGTAATTTTAATATTGATTTTTATTTCGAGTCCTTTTATTCCATTCAGTTTGAAAATGAAAAATATACGTAAAATCTTCACATTCACACTACATCCAACCAAATCAAATTTAAATATAAACGCTTGTATGTTAAAGTAATTTAATTTTTGTGAAACCAGATATGTACACAGTCATCTCACATGAAGGTATGAAATATTTTTTATAATTATATAATTTTCTCTGTATATATATATATATTTTTTTTTATTTATTTTTTCTTTCTTTTTAAAACGCATATATGAAACTGTAATTTTAAATTCATATTCATATTCAAATATTGTAATTCGAAACTATCAACTGTGCTTGCTTATATATTATGTTTGAATATCTCTTCTTTTTAATTTTTGAAAACACGATATATTTATTCACTTTTTTGTAGTGCACGTATTGTATCTATAATTACTTTTTAATACTCGTGTAATGTCATAGAAGCAGACATTTTTTTTAAATATCATATATCACTTATCACTTTTGTTTTTTTTGCGACGTTGTAAATTTCGCGTGAGAATCACTTTTTTTCAAATCTTTTAACAATTCAGTTTTTACTTCTTCCAAGTCAAAGTCTGAAATAAATTTCTGTTTCAATATATACGAGGTTGTCTTATTGTAATTTTTACTGTTTTTGTCAACATATATGTCTTTTAAATCTTTTTCGTGGAACATTTTATGTTTAGTTTCCTTGATAAAATATGGTTTGTAATTCTTATTTATATCCGTCGTCATTGCGTCTGATACGTCATTTGGCTGATGTGTACGACTTTCAGATCTATTGGTACTTTTCAAATGATCAGGTATAATTGATTGTTGTAAATGCAGCAATTGGGTATTGGTAACTTCGCAATCAATTTGCATCATAGTTATATGATTCGCGGGTGTTGAAAATGTTTCTGAAACAAATATTAAAACCCACGTAGTAAAACAATAATAATTTTTCATTTTATGCCATTTGTGCATAAATTAAACGTAGAAAATGTTTACCGTTCATAGGAAGTGCAGGAAGTACCAACGACATCCTTGGTCTACCTGTGCTATTTTTGCTCGAGGCCGGCAAAAGCAAATGTTCCCCGCTAAACCAAACTACGTAAAAAGTGTCATCTCTTCTACCTAAAGCTTCGAACAAAGAAGCATGCTCTTTTATTATCGGAGAAAAAACTTCTACCGCGTTCGATATCGATGGCTCAGTTGTCTTTCGATGTATTTCGGATTTACTTCTTTCCGACAAATTATGTTTACGTTTAGTTTTTTGCATTACATGCAGGGGCGATGATAGGAACTTTCCAGCAACATTGGCATCTAATTTTCCTTTTATCAAATCATCTTGATCGGACTTTCCACCAATCCACCGTCTCAATTCGTAATCTAAACGAATTGATTCACTCTGGTTAATATACATCGGACACATAGGTTGTGGTATGGATGTATTTTTACGAAAACTATCTTCATCTTCCTCTCGAATTTGATCTCTAGACGTCCAAAGTAACGTTCTTCCATGTCTTGCGTATTGCGCGCTAATCGATCCGTCATTAGATAATATATCCAATTGATTATTTTGCGAAAATATATCCCTAGAAAAAAATGTCAATTTTATATCTTTCCTTAAACCGGATAAACAAATAATCCAAAAAACAAGTGAATGACAGATTCATCATATGCTTACTTGAAACCATTAACATTTAAAGATACCATAAAAACCATCCCCAAAAGAATAGCAACATTCTTTTTGCTGGTATTGAAGTTCAAGTTTTTAAATTTATTGGTAGCTCTTGTATGTTCCAATGACGAAAGCTTCTGTTTTAAGTTTGTATTTTCCTGATATACAAACACAATAATCAGTAATTAACATACTATATTCAGTAATAAACATATTACACCAACGTATATTTCAATTTCATGCATTTTACCATTTTTAATTGCTTATTTTCTTGTTGCAATTCATGAATCTGTTTTTCTAACGAAGATACATACTCCTTTTTTTTCTTTCGCGACAGGCAAGCTGACTCTCTATTTTTTATCATTCTTTGTTGCCTTTTCAGTGCTTTTATTTCACATTCTTGTCGTTCAGCAAAATTGACATCTTGCATTTCATTCTTTATGACAATTGGAGTATAATTTGAAGTTTCTGTTTTAATTATTATCGGTTTACATGCATCCGAATCACTTTTTACAATTATAGAAGTACATCCAGCTGCTTCATTCTTAAGAACCAGAGGTGTATCCATCATATTTATTGTTTGATCGTTTCCTAACGCATATACGTTAGAGACATTGTCCGTTATTTTCACATTATTCTCTTGTAGTTGTTGAATTGTATTTGTCTCTGTTTTTATTGGTACTGAGGGAGGCTGTATCGATGTTTGAATCTCTTTATTTGTATTAGGTGTAAAATGAGTCGTGAAAGGATATGATATATAATTCTGCCTAATTTTTTGAGTAAGTGCAACAAAATTTTGTGTACTCAAAAATATAGCATTTTTAGGCTGTTCTGGAAAATATTAGACATATCAAAATATAAAATGTGACTTGGAAGTAAATAGTATAAAAATAACATTTAAAATAGACACAGATTACTGTTTTACCATCAGCGACAGGTTGAATATTATCTTTTGGTTGAACCCGAACACGTTTGGAAGAATTTACTTTGGAAAGGGTGAATTTTGTTTCATTCGTATCTTGAAGTTTAAAAGGCTCAAGTTTTATATGTTTTGCAATGGCTATGTTTGAAATTGGTTGCGGAGATATAGGTGGGGAAACATTTTGCGAAGGAGAGATGGGTGGTGTTTCTAGAGTTGTCTACAACAAATCGGGTAAAATATGTAAATGTTGGATTTATGGTAGCTGACCGTAACAATGATGCATTATAACCATACCTTAAAATTACAGATGGACGCGTTAGAACTTGTTTCAACTTGTGAATCTGATTTACAACACTCACTCTGACTGGGCGCAGGAGACAAAGGCAACTGGACATATGGGCTTGTAGGTTCTAATTTAATTTTTACTTTTTTATCCACATCTGTAATTACAGATGACATTTGAGTTATATTTACATTTACAAATGTTAGTTTATTAAGAAAAAAAAATATATAAAAAGTACCTGAAGTTTGTTGCACAATATTTATATCACAATTTTCGAAACTAGTCGATGCTTCCCCCATGCATACATCTTCCGTAATTTGACTATCAACATCATTTTCTTTAATATTAGTCAATGGTTCTTTTATGTATATATTTTTTGAAATTCCATCATCAATACCACTATCTATCTTTGTAGATATTTCGTTTTCAAAGAACAAAGGAATACCTAGCTCAGAACTTAAAGATTGAAACAAATCGTCTTGAAAAAGGGAACAATCTGAATCTGTAAAAATATAATCTATTATTATTACGACGAAAGAAACGAATGCAGAATATAAAAACCTAGCACTTTCAATTTCAATAAATTTTAATTGCCATATTCGCTACTTGTTAGAAATTTTAATAAGCAATGTAAAATCTATATGCTATATTATATACTGTATGTAAATCTAGTAAATATTTATATATATTTATGTAGTACATAAAATCTATGTACTGTTATAGATTATATACAATACCATATACTATGTATATATAATTACAAACAAAGAAAAATGAATGAAATGTCATCTTAAAAATATAACACGCACCCATAACTTCAAAATCTGGAAACGTTTGTTGAAGTTCAGATTCAGTACTATCGTTCCACTGCGAATCCTGATTTATCAACATAGTTCATTAAATAAGAATTTACTTTTTGCTCGAAGAAAAGGAAATATCATTAATCCGTAAAATCGCGTTCAACAGACATTTAGTTTCACCGGTATTGAACTACGCAACAGTCTGCAACAAATATGTAGTTGTTAAATACAATTGCAGTTCAGCCACGCATTTCCACCTCGTTCACGAAGAAACGATTGCGTGGATGCGTTTTAATGATAGCAATAATGATATATGTATTTCGTATCAATACAGTGTAAATATAACAGCATAAGCATAGACAAGATACACGACAGACCTATCGTTCAATGCATTTTTATGTTGTATTACAAAGTTTAGAACTTTAGCATTGAAATACTAAGTGTGAAGTGGGAAAGGGTTGTGACACTAGGATGATAGTATGCAGCAGACCATCGATAGATGGCGACGCATAGTTTATGGAAGTATACTCTAATTACAAATGAAATATATGAAAACACGAAAACAATTTATATTTACCTGAATAATGATGGTAACAAAGAAAATTTTTATTATAAAGTCAAAAATTAAAGTAAAACATTACACGTTTTTATAAACACAAAACAGTACACGTTTTATTTTATTTGCATTCTACATACAAACACTCGATAAAATATTTGTGTTAACAATCCATGTGTTCATCACTGCACGTATAATATATAAGAATATTATTTACTTATTTACATATACATATATATGTGCACATGCACGCGCGCGCGCAATATAACAAATGATTATACATAATTATTTCATTCTCTTCTGCTTCAACAAATGATTTCTTAAAGCAATTTGTTTTTCTTTAAAAGAACGTTTCACCTTTCCTTTCACTTTATGCTTTAACATTTGAAAAGCTTTGGTTTTTCTTTTTTCACGATTTGTTTTGCTACAAAGTGGATTTTGCCGTCCATCCTTATAACCAAATTTTTCCCTTTCCTCTTGCCCTTTCTGCAAAAAAAATAAACAAAAATATATTAAAATAAAATACATAATAAATGCAGAAAATCAATAAAGAAATATATTTCTCTCTACATTTCCTTCTATTTTGTTCAAATTATATTTTAAACATTTATTTTTATCACGACGATTAACATTTTTTAATAATGTTTATGATAAATAACATAAAGGAATGTAATTAAATCAATGTAATTGAACTTTTTTAATTAGCGAAAGTAAAACACATACCTTCACAGATTCAATACGAGCTTGCTTGTCATATTTCCGTTTTTTATAAATATTTTCTATGTCTGCTAATTTGACAAAATCTCCATGTTCATTGTCTCTAAGATGAGCTCTTTTTATACCACGTTTAGCGTACGTTATTTGTTGTTTCGCTAACGCGGTATCTATCTTCAGAAAGTCTTCGTCAGTTAATAATCGTTCGTTAGATATTAAAGTTGCTTTTTCTCTTTTCTCTGCATTGATTATCTCTTTCTTTTTCACTTTTGTGTCTTGTTGTTTCTTCAGTTTCAATCGTTTTCTTTCCAGTTTTGATAACGAGTGACATTGTCTTTTTCGCTTTTGATTCGCAACACTATCGATATCTGTGTCTGTGTTATTTATATTAAATTTAATATCTTTATCTTCACGTGCTTTCATTTCTATTTTATCACTTTCATTCATTTTAATTACATTTTCATTATTATTTTTTACGCTCTGTCCTTCTTTATTTTCTTCCAGCTCCTTTTCTTTTCTTTCCTTTGCATTAGTGTCATCACTATCACCATCACCATTATCATCATCATCATCATCATCTTCATCGTCATTGTCATCACTATGATCATTATCATCATCATCGTCGTCGTTATCGTCGTCGTCGTCGTCGTCATCATCATCATTGTCGTTGTCATCGTTGTCATCACCAGAATTTATATCAATCCATTCATCATCATTATCCTGTGATTATAATCTTACAGGTAAAAAATTTCTTTCACTTAAACTAATTGTAAATAAAGAATCAGTTCACTCCTGGTATATATTCACTTACAGAATTTTCTATATCAATCTTTGAAGTCTCTTTCACATTGTCAGAGTTATCGTCGAGTAAAACTTCAGCACCTGGTATAAAATCATTGGCCGACATTTGACCATATTTTGGCATACTTAAAGTAATGGTTGTTTCTGTAGGACGTCCTCTGTCCTTCTTATGTAGCAATTCAGGTATTGAATTTCTGAATAGAGATATCAATGAACGTGCAGCCATCATTACACTTCGTTCTTTGTAATACTTGTATCGTGCTAAATCTTGCAGTAAATCTGCATTCATAACTAATGGGCATCGGGTACATATCTCTCTAATAGCATTCAACCTTTTGTACAAAACAATTTTATATTAAACGAAATGAAATAAAGATATCGCGACGGAAAAATATACGCATACCCTATAGCCATGACATCTGCTGAATTTCGTTCTGTAACAAAATTGTTTGCTAATGTCTTCAAAATTGGTTCCAATGTATCAGGTGGTATAAGTTCGTGAGAGGCTTGAGCGATAAATTGCAGAAGTTTTGTTACTTCTAAAATTGTTAAAAATGACATGTCGGCATATATTTTTTATATATACGTGTAATAGCAATGATTTTCTGATAATAAAAAGATTACCTCTTTGATGTGGTTGCAGAAATCTCTGTAGATAAGGATAAAAATTTAATAGAAATAAATTGTGCAAACCGATAAGCCTTGAAATCACATCCAACGTTAGTAGTTTAATTTCAAATCTATCGTTGTTCCTTTCCAACTGTTTGAATAATTTTTCTGCAAAACTCTGTGGGTCGTGAATTAAGTGCAACGCCGAGAAATTATACCTCGGGGCTTTCGTTGCTTTTTTCTTAGACTTCTACGGTATTTAAAATTTATATACGTATCAATATCATCGTAATTATTTGTAATTTGTTATTTTTTATCAATCCTTAATCACTCACCGCTAACAGTTGTTTCGCTTTCGCTAGATGTTTTTCCCGTTTCTTTGTTTTCTTATTTACTCTATTAGCCATTATGATTTCTTTGATATTTGGCTCGCTATCGCTGTCACTTTCCTCATTTTCCTGTTCTTCTATGCCAGTACCCAGAAAGAATTTCAAGCAAGAGACCATAACTTTGGTTGCCTTGACGAAACAACCTGTTGCCAGAACATTTACAGTTTTCGCATCGTTCCAGATATCTTTATTATACAATTCTATCATGATATCTGCAGACATCTTTGCACTCCTGACATTAGAATCTTTCAACATGGAAAACATAAAGTTTTGTAGAGTTGTATTAATCTTTGTATTCTTTTGTTTGATATTCACATTTTTTATATCAGTGATAATGTGTGTTTGAAGAAATTGTCTTAAATTTTTATCTTGACATCTTAAAAGTTCAAAAAATAAACTCAGAAGTACCGTGGGCTCTAAAAGAGCTTTGTTACGTAGTTGAATCAAAGCTTTACAAAATGTCTACAAAAAAAATACATTTTATTCAGTTATAAAGAAGAGAAATTCAATTTGCTCTTTGTTTAGTATTATTTTTAACGTTTTACACTTACTAATCTTAAATCATTGTCAAGCACTGTATTATATGTTTGCAATACATCGATGATTTCTTGAGGAAATGATTCTAATTCGTTTGAATAACAATGGGCCACCTGTATTAAAATATAATTAGATTAAATAAGATAATAATTTATGTGCAATATATTAAATTTATAGATGTACATTCTGTGCTATAAGTAGTTTATCTGCGAAAAGAAAATATGTTTATAAATTTAAATGTTTTATTTCGTAAAAAATTAATCAAGGAATACAAAATTAAAATTATTAAATTTATACAATAATTAAATGGTTTTGGTTAATGCATTTTCGACTTAACATAAATTATACAAATAATTTTTAATATTAAATCCAACAGTTTTAGCTATGACGACAATAAAATCATATGTCACGCAACATTTAAGTTTTGGCTCGTTCAAATTATAATTTCCCACGATCGATAATAAACCAAGTTGACACATAGATGGAATCTGAGAAAGTAGATTAGCATTTATATCAACTTTCTCATTCAGGATTGCACAGAAAATAGCAATCATTCTAGATACTGGAAAATTGTAAGGTCCACAAAATGCATTTAACGTTATTTTTTTTTTATCGTTAACTCTTTTCTTTTTCTTGAATTTTTTTTTTACAAATATATATTTATCTTCTTTTACGGGATTGTACGAGGCCAGATACGATGCGATCAGCATATACTTTGCATAATATGGCAATTCAAAGCTCAATGCCAATCTCATCGTTGATTCAATATCTTTGGACAATTGATTATCCTTTGCAAAATTTTCGGAAGAAACTCGTAAATAGATGACTTCTAGATTCGCTTTGAAAGTAGCAGAAATATTTCTCCACAATAAAGCAGTATCATTTTCCTTGGACCGATCAGTTTCAATAGGTTCTACGTATTTAGAAAAATTTACTTTTGCCATGTAACGAAGTTCATTGAGATCTCGACAGAACCGGAAAAATACAGAAAGATACAAATTTAAATAATTTTTATAAAATGTTTCTTCGTAACCGCAGGGTCTGCTTGAAAGTAAAATTTCAATCAATTCGTTTTTAGTATATTGTGGAAAATGAATTTTAAATGGGTCGTGTATACCTATTTTAACACGGAATTTCTCCCATACTATATCAGTTACAAATATCACGCAAATATTGACGTTTGATAATTCTCCGAGTTTCAAAAATGTAGGCAGTAAATCAACGTCGATATCTCGTAATTTATCACACTTGTCAAATACTATTACGATCGGTCGATTGTCTTTTGTACAAATATCTCTAAGGCTTGTTATAAAATCAACAAAATTATCACACTTGCATTGTAATTGGTTATTGGCTGTAAAATCATTGGAAGATAATGACAAATCACCCAGGATGTACTCAAATATATGTCTTTTAGTCACATGTTCCACGCAATTAATAATAGCTACATTGTATTTCAAGTAAGAAAGCATATTTTGCACCACTAACGATTTTCCAGTAGCTACATGACCATAAATAAATATACTATGTGGCATTGGTTCGTCGCAGAAACCAATTAGAGAATACAGTTGTGTTATGATGTTTTTACGACATACGATTTTTTTATCTAAATATTCCAAATATTTTTCCATGTTTAAAAATTTGTTAACTTCCTTAATGACAAACAATTTGTAACAATGTCACGATAAACAAATTACTCGTTCTATATACTTTGTCAATTATACCTGCAAAAGAAAGCATTTTTCTAATATTTAACAATCTTATAGCACAAAAATGATGGCGCAAATATATGTTTATTGAAATTGTAAATTTATATATCATTTTTTAACTTACCTGAGCCAAAAAGGTGACTACTTCGTCGAGACTTTTGTTAAACTTATTTGGCGATAAACGAAAAATTTCTAAAACTGACTTGTAGTGCTGATGTTGCTGAAGAAACTGCAGAAATATAAAAGAGTATTTTAAAGTATATTGAACGCAAGAGATGGACATATTGCACTGAAAATACTTACTTCCTCCTTGTAAGATTCTGGATCTCGTTTAATAAGATTTTGCAATTGAGGGAGATTTTCCGGCAATTGATTATTATGTCTTACCATCTTTTCCTCTAAATGAATACATAAAATTAGACTTGTGTACGTATAAATTAATAAGGCCTTTACAACGATAAATACAAATGTATTTAAACTATGTAACCTAACCTATACAACATGTTAAATAACAATAATTTTGTAAATCTACTTACTCAATTTTTAATCGTAAAAATATAAAGTGTTATTTATGTATCTTTTTTTAACTGATTTTTATCGCTATTTAATAATATTATTGAAACTACATTATTCACGCGTGTCGCCTATAAAACGTGACTAACCGATCTAAACAATTGTCAAACATCGTTAAAGGTTGATTTTCACGTAGGATAAATAAGCGTAACTTGTGATAACACGCTAATTTTGAACGAAATAAGAAGAAGAAGAATTACCTCGAAAAGTAACAATAAGATGTTTAAAATTGGATATATACTTGTCGTTTCAATTCCCTCTAGGAAAACTATTACGCTATCGTCTAAAGAAAAAACATTTTGGCGCGCTTTTTTTCTATCGGTTGACAACACAAAGCCGACAATTATTCGTACAAATAAATTGTTAATATATAAAAAAAAGAACAAATTTTTAACAGAACTTATCGTTAATGATTATTCATAATTACAGGTGCAGATAGGCGTTTGATATTTATTCATAATTTTATATATTTTAGAACCACGTGACAATCATTAAGCTACATTTTCATTAAGAAATCTCAACTACCAACTACAATTACTTTGCTTCACCTCTTTCATAAATACTTGGGTTTATGCATATGTTGATCAAAGTAGGTACATATCGACAAAAGTAAAACTACATCGTAACTAGTACATCGTAAGTGAAAATGGACGATGAAATATCGGAAGATGAGGAAGAAATTCTGGTATACGTAGAATTTGAAGGACTTGTCGATGGTAACGTATTCAGTGAGAAACAATTACAATTGGATATGATTGGCATAGATACGGAACACCCCATAATGCAAATCAATGGGAAGGTAACAAAATCCATGAGTGACAACAAATGAAATTAATATTTTACCGACCTTGTGTTAAATTTCTCTTTCAATTTTAGTTTTACGAAGGTTCTTACGAAGACGTTATTGGTACCTACATGTTCTTTGCGAAAAATGACAATACCGTGGTGGACGATCCTGTCTTTGATGTGCCACCAAATTTTAAATACGTTGCCAAAACCAGAAAATTCCTAAAAATGCAGAGAATCTTTATAAAACCAAGGACAGAAGTTTTAGGCGATTCTCAAAATAATCAGTGCATTCCGAATTCAGATACGCTGATGCAGGCAGGAATACCATTTCAATATCAAGAAGAAGGTAAAGCTGCGTCAACACGATACTCTGCATTCATCTGATACTCTGCAATGTAATTTTTTTTTTCTTTCTTTTCTTTATAGCCCTTTCATTTTGGAAGACTATGCGAGATAGTAGATTAAACGCGTTACATTCATATCTGGAAAAGCAACGTATCAGGCAACAAAAGAAGTCTGAAGGTATAATGTTAGAATCCGAATCTGACGAGGACAATCCATTTGCGATGTATAAGCACAAGGATGAAGTCGATTTAGACAAGTCTGTCGACGTTCATGGTGATTCAGAGAAAGAATTAAGTTACTCTGATGATCAAGGTGATACAGAGTTGATACATCCTGAGGAAATTAACGATCGAGATTCAGGTACCGCTGAATATAATTGTTGTAAAAATCCAAAGAAATGTCATTCCAAGGTTTCGTTAGAATTGGAGTCAAAAATAGCATCAAAAAACGATGACCATTTAACGCGGGCTGTGAAAGGTTATAAAGTTAAGATGTCTAGAAAGAAAAAGTTAAATGTGGTGAAACACTGACTGTGATGGACAAAAAATAAATTATCTTTTTGCAAAAGCATATGACTGACAATGAAATTTGAAAGTATTGAATCAAAAAATATATCCATTCACGTAATAAAAGAAAATGAATATTAATTATATATTTACGAAATTATTACTGATATCGTTTCTTATTGATTGATGTTAATTTTTCATATTGGAATTACAGAAATAATGACTGATAATTGTTGATTAAATGAATTCATCGACCAATCGTCAAATAATACGAATAATATCTATTTATTTCTTAGTCTGTAATTAGTTTTATTTTGTTTAACTTGTTATAAAAATGATCTAGCGGTACTTTCATGGTAATTGTATCTATCGAAATGTAACAAAATAGAATCTTTTATTTTGTTTGCTTGATGTTTCAGACATTTCTGAACATCGCAATATATTTCGATAAAATATTACCAGTTTTTACCACCATATTTATTATTATGTATCAAAGAGCACATTTTATTTAAATTAATTTTTAAATACTGAATTATTTTCTAACATTACGTACTGGTATTCGTCAATCGATTAATATGTATAAAAGAATTTAATTTTTCAATTTTTGGTGTCAAAGGCACTATTTATAGATATATAAATACAATTTATTTTTTTACCAATCCAAATCACCAGGAAGTTCGTCAGGATAGTCTCCTGTCAAACAGGCAGTGCAATGGCCAATGTAACTACTCTCACGATTATCCATGCCAAATCTCACGGCTTTTACAAGTCCTTCTACCGAAAGATATGTCAAGCTATCAGCTCCTACGTGTTTTGCTAATTTTACATTATCTAATTTATTAGCGATTAATTCTTCTCTCGTTGGTATGTTAATCCCCATGTAACAGGGATATTTTAATGGAGGAGAGGCTATTCTAATATGAACCTGTAAATACAAAAAAGAATTATATTTTTATCATTTGATTCTTAATAAACCTCTGATTAATTGTGTGATACTTGTAGTGCGATTACACAGATTTCAAATTTAAACAAAAACGTAGGGAGGAAGAGCTTACTTCCTTTGCTCCTGCATCACGAAGTAATTTAATAATAGGACCAATTGTATTTCCTCTGACAATGGAATCATCTATGAGAATTAATTTCTTTCCTTTAACATTTTCCGACAAAGCGCCAAATTTTTTTGCCACGCCAAGTTGTCTGAGTCGAGTACTAGGCTGAATAAACGTTCGGCCAACGTATCTATTTTTGCACAATACTTCCGCAAAAGGTATTCGAGACTGCAAATTAATAATATTACTTACTTAAAATAATTACTATTGTTACAAGTTGTAAAAGATTGTTCTATCGATTATTTTTTCTACATAAATATTTATATACATTTATGTATTCATAGTATATCCTACAATCTATAGTTGATGTTTTATATTAATTGCAATTATAAAATTAGTAAATTTACCTGTCTAGCATAACCGTGCGCTGCGGCAGTTCCAGATTCGGGTACTGAACTAACTATATCTGCTTCTACCGGCGATTCCAAAGCAAGTTCTCGCCCACATTGCATGCGAACGGAATAAACCATTTGTCCTGTTAAACGAGATAAGATAAATTATTTAAAACTTTTTTTCTGTGCCATATTACTTTCATTTTATTACCTTCGAAAATACTGTCGCTACGTGCAAAATAAACGTATTCAAAGATGCAAAATGCTTGTGGCTTCTTGTCCGGTCTATCAACGATATCTATAGTCTTAATACCTTCCCGCGTCAATTCTATAATTTCTCCAGGAAATACTTCACGCACGTATCGTGCTCCGATACTTAAAAAGCCACACGATTCAGATGAAATAACCCAACCTTCAGCTTCATCGTCGTCATCCGATTCGTTTCCTGCCATGTGAGAAGGTTTTGTTAATAGCGAATAAATTGTAATACATTCTGATATTCTGTTTTAAATTTATCATTACAATTAATTACATACCTAAATTACCAATCGGTACAATTTTTCCTAGACACAATGGACGATTTCCATAAGGATCTCTGACACCATATATCTTGTCTCTTTGCATAATTACCAATGAATATGATAACGGTGCTAACTGCATAAGGTGCTTTATACGTGCAGGCCAATCTGGACCATTAACTTCACCCTCGGGAGGATTCAAACAAAGTGCTTGCGTTATTAATTCAGAATCTGAATAGGTCGATAAACCAACACCGCGTCCTAATACCTAATAGCAAATATTAAAGGAGCAAATATTAAAATAACGTAAAGATATATCGGACATTCTTTACTGATGGAATTACCATTTTTCTCAGTGATTCTGTATTTACTAATTCTCCATTGTGGGCAACTGCTAGCGCTCCGTGTGCAGTATGAACCACAAATGGTTGACAATTAACTTCTTCGCTAGCTGCACTTGTACTATATCTAGTATGACCAATTCCAAGGTTCCCGCTAAGTTTTTTCATGTTTTCGTCGTTAAAAATATTATTGATCATGCCCATACCTTTATGGACATGAAAAGATTTGGAACATACACCTTCGCTGGTAACAATGCCTGCACTCTCTTGACCTCTATGTTGCAATGCCACTAAACCTATAGAAATATTTAAGAAATATTAAAGAGACTTATCGGTAATAAATATATCACAAGAAATGTATTCATAAATTTACCTAAACAAATCACTTGAGCAACATCAATTTGTGATGGCCAGTCACCCGCAGCAATGCATCCAAAAACTCCACATTCATGTGTAAGGCCAGTTGTTTCATTTTTTATTTGTTTTCTATCATGTAGCTTTTTATCTGTTTCATTTTTCTGAGATATTATTTGATTACAAGAATTTGTTTGCATGTTACAAGATATTTTAATTACAATCTGAAAATTATTAATGTATCAGATAAAATGATATGAAGTAAGAAGTAATGTTAAAATATATTACTTTACTCTACTGTACCACAAGCTGAGATTTAAATTCTTAGATACATCGCGAAGAATTAATTTAAGATCCTATGTAGCATTATAAAATAACGATAAAACAAACATTTTTTTTTATATTGCAAAACATAGCAGACCCCCTTGAGATTTCTTGTGAATTATCAAGAATGACCCTGTATAAACTATTGACCTCTAATAAACAAGATAGTACTCTTTTTCCAGTACCATTATATATATTTTTGCTTATATATACTTGCTTAATCGGTATTTCGCAACTGATTTCATCATTACATTCCTAATTCCATATCGTTGCTAATATCGTTATATGTAATAAAATATTTATGAATATTACTTGATACAATATAGAAAAATATCTTTCTAAATAATTATTTCAAAATAATTTTAATCAAAATTGTAGAAAACAACAGATATCTAAAAAACGAGAAAGATGTGTCATTTCTCGATTTATAATACAGCTTTTGCTATTCAAAGCACGGTTTCCTGTGCGCGCGTGCACGCTATTAAAATAACTCGTACAACCTGAGAAATTATCAAAAAGCAACTGTTGCAATAATTTTATCAATTTGTTCGATATTCGATCGATTGAAGAGATTAAATTATTTTATTACGAGTGCAATTTCATCACTTTTCATCAAGGACTGTACCCACTTGTTGAGCTGCCTCGACAATTTAATAACAAATGTAGAAAACAAATTCTACGTAACTTCTATTTTAGTTATTACTCTTATAGTTAGAATTTCTTTGATACGTTCGTTTACTGGATTATCATTCATCGTATCGAAACAATTTCATTCAAGTATACAAATTTTGAACTAGATGTACGTACATACCACGTGCGTCAAAGATTTGAGCCTTCGTGATCTTCTGTCAGCAATTTCAGCATGAAATACGTATCTCGGCTGGCTTTAGAAATACGAATGAATCTGTTGACCAATGGAAATTTGTTTCTGGTTGGGGGGGTCAGCTTATTTAGCTATCTTTTACTTTTAAACTCCATGACTGCCTGCTTATCCTCGTTAAAATATTGGATATCATTTGCTAAAATTTCAGGAAAGATCGATGATGATCTAATACATTTACGCGTATGTCAAGTTTCCAACTAATTGTCATTCCTCGTTTCGTCGTTGTAAATGGTCTCGTAGCTGTTCCAGTTTCTCTCGAATGTAAGTTAAATTCTTCGTAAACAGATCGCATAAAAATTCAAGATTACATTACGAACGACCTTATTGATATTGATTATACGATTGATTACGAACTTTATGATTGATTGTAATTTTATTACAATTTTTTAGTCCACATATTATAGTTTATATTCGTATAAAATGAAATAGATAAAAATAAATTTTTATATTTGAAATAAGTATTTTGATATTATCACGTGTCCTCAAAGCGGACAATAAAGTTTTATCGAAATCTTCGAAATAGTTATTTAAATTTATCATTATTTATCAAGCTCTTTAGATCATTTAATTAAGTAATCAAATGATTTGTTCAAATTTCTTAATGCATTTGAATATTCGAGAATTTCTTATCGTATTGTATGATACATAAGATTCATAGATCTACCATGTAATTGATACAAAGATTATTTATGAATTTACACCAATCAAGAGCAGTTGGATTTTGAAAGAGGGGATCGTTACAGGGATCGTTACACATTAATTGCATGAGAATTGAGAAGTCACAAAGTATTTGCGAAGTAGATAGAAAAGAGGAAACATGAAAGGTAAGTATTTAATTAATTACTATATAATTAATAGTACATATATATTATGATTATGAAATATATATTATATTTAAGAAAAAAAACCTGAATATTACTTAACTTTAAGAAATGGAATGAGTTTTTTTTTAATTCGATTCATCTATTGTAAACATCAAGATATTTTTATTTTGAAAATTGAAATTTTCCGTTAAAGCTTGTGTGTTTATTTTGAAAATTTCTAGCTTGTTCTATGTGTTTGCTTCGGAGAAATATAAATGTAAATGACAATGATTGAAGTGGTTGAATAGAATTTTATAGTAATACGTATGATTTATATTTTATAAGTTCGTTTAAAGATATTAATTGAAAAAAAGTCATAAATTGTAATAAAAAATTCTTTTATCGATATGTTTGTTATGTGAAATATTAATTACTTATGGATTACTTTGGTAATAGTATATACTAGTTCTTAATTGAACAAATTTTATATTTTATATGTTTAATGACATAACATTGATAATTTTCTTTACTTTTTTCTTTAGCTATTTTTATTTTTAAATCTTACAATTAGCATTACATCATATTCGATGTATTTACTTTGCCGAGTTTGTAAAAAAACTGAAATAATATTATTTAATTTCAAATTTTTGTTTCATGCGATAACTTATTTCCCAGTTGACTTGTTTAGCTAATGTAAATAATTTTTATCTTGTTAGAGTATAAATGTGGACGACTCGTCGTTGAAGGAAAAACTAAAAAAGTGTACGAAGTTCTAAACTTCTCTTCTTTGTATCTCTTGCAAAGCAAAGATCGTATTACTACTGCAGATGGTGAAAAATCTCATGATCTAAAAGGAAAAGCTGCGATTAGCACAGCTACCTCAGCTAAAGTTTTTCAATTGCTAAATGAAGCTGGAATAAGAACTGCTTTTATGGAAGTAGTAAATGACACTGCTTTTATTGCACAAAAATGTGATATGGTGCCAATAGAATGGGTCACTAGAAGATTAGCTACTGGTAGTTTTTTAAAAAGGCATCAAGGTATAATGATAATTCTGTAATTGCAAAAAAATTATATATATATATATAGATGTTTTATATATATATATATAAATTATTTGTTTTATTTTAATTTTTATCACTCAGGAGTTCCAGAAGGACATCGATTTAATCCACCATTACAAGAAACATTCTTTAAAGATGATGCTAATCACGATCCGCAATGGTCAGAGGAACAAGTTATTTCTGCTGGTTTTAAATTGAATGGTCTTACAATAGGGAAATATGAATTTGACATTATGCAACGTACTGCTCTTGTTGTATTTGAAATTTTGGAAAAGTCATGGGGAACTAGAAATTGTGCTCTCATTGATATGAAAATAGAATTTGGTGTGAGTGAAAATCATGAAATTATGGTAGCAGACGTAATTGACAGTGATTCTTGGAGGCTTTGGCCGTCTGGAGATAAGAGATTAATGAAAGATAAACAGGTATGTCTCGCAAACGTAGATTATTCTTATTAATGAAACTATTAACAGTTTCGTTATCTTTGTTTGTAGGTATATAGAAATTTAGCTACTGTAACTCAAGAAGATTTGGATACTGTAAAACGTAATTTTAAATGGGTAGCAGATCAACTTGATTTCTTCATTCCAACAACAAGTAGTCTTGTTGTTATTTTAATGGGATCACTTTCTGACAAAGATCATTGTGAAACAATAGCAAAGCATGCAAAGTCTTTAGGTTTAAAAGTTCAACTTCGTGTATGCAGTGCTCATAAAGGTACTCGAGAAACATTGCATATTCTTGCAGAATACGAAGGTACAAAGGTATGTATATTGTCACTTTCAAAAATGAAGATTATAACTTTTATACTATAATTGAAAAATCCTGTAACTATATGCATTTTGATAAGTTTTTTTAAATAATTTATATAACGTATAATTTTGATAAGTTTTTTTAAATAATTTATATAACGTATAATTTATAAATTTTGTATGTACCATTATATTATACATACATGTATATAAGTACGTTGAACATTCGTTCAAGTACAAGTAATAATGAAATATAAATACGAGAATAACAACAACAGTCGATTTATTGTATGAATGTATCGACAATTATATTTGAAGTCATAACAAATTATGTATCGTTCGGACGTATATTGCGAAATAGTTTATCTTCAGAACGCAATGATAAAAATACTGATATTTACGAATATGCGTTGTTTATTTTTGAATTATCACAAGTTTTTTTTGTTTCTCTTAGGTGGTGTTAATAGCTGTAGCAGGGAGAAGTAACGGATTAGGTCCAGTGCTTTCTGGCAACACATCTCTGCCTGTTATTAATTGCCCACCTTTTAAGCCAGAAAACATTTCGCAAGATTTGTGGTCGTCCATCAATGTTCCATCAGGTAATTTACCAACTATTTAAGTTTAATTATGTTTCCAATTTTCATTATAAGAATAAAATATTAAGTAAAATTTATCAAACTTTCAGGAATTGGATGCACCACAGTTGCTTCTCCTGAAAGTGCAGCATTAGCAGCTGCTCAAATTCATGCACTGCATGATCATTTGGTTTGGGCACGCCTACGAGTAAAACAATTAAAAAATTACATCACTTTAAAGCAAGCTGATGCTAAACTAAAAAATCTTGTTGTGTAATACGTTGTGTCAAGATTCTTTCATGCTTAATATCAACGAGCAAATTTGCGCGACTTTATTTTACACGTAACAAATGTAATTGAGCAGTTATTCGTACAAGTTTGTACAAACCAATGTATGATAAATATTTTAGTTTCTTCTTAATTTCTTCGATCTTAATTTCAATCGATGTGATCTTTTTACAATGATATTTGTTACATTACGTTAAATATTCATAGCATTTAGATCGATAATCACATTTGAGTAATTATCTAGCGAATAAATTTAATTTTGTATAAATGTTTATATTAGCCCTTTTTGTATATACTATATTATTGTTTTTCCTAATTATTCTTTATTGGTTGCAAGTATATAACGTTCATTTGTTCAATTTCCAAGAAATTTACGAATAAAATAAAAATATGCCTAATTTTGTATACAATTATTTCTCATGTATTATATATTTAATTTGAAATAAAATAAAATAAAAAAATAGAGTGATCGAATCGTATTAATTATATCAATAAAATTATATTAAATGAGGCAGTATATATAAAAATTAAGTTAATATAATTAAAGAAAGAAAAGAATCTTGATTCATGTAGTTTAGATATTTTACATGCCTTTTCATATTCTGTCCACTTTGTAAAATTTTTCGCTTTGAAGTTTCTTATAAAAATTTGCTGTATAATTATTACACGCAAGTAGAATCATTATTATTTAAATGTTGACTCGCTAAAGCTTCTATTTTAGCAATTTCTTTTGGGCAGCTTTCCGTTAAAATTACCGGATCATTTTCCGTTATTAAAATATCATCCTCGACGCGAACAGCTAAACCATGAAATTCTGGCGGGGCAAATCGATTTTTATGAGTTACATATATTCCTACAAATAACAAAAAATGAAGTTATTTTACAAATGAATTTATCTCTCAAGGTACATTACCAGGTTCTACTGTAACTATCATTCCTGGCTGAAGTTTTATATTCCTAGAGATCTTTCCTGTGTCGTGCACATCCATTCCCAAATAATGACTAACATGATGTGGACAATAGGCATAAACCGCGGAAAACAATTCATTTTTATTCAAATGTTTCGGTATTAGTCCATTTTCTTGTAATCTTTTGCCTAGTAAAGAGCACATATCGTGATATAATTGATCTAACGATGGCAACTCTTTTAGTTTATGAATTAAAATATTTTGAACATCCAGTACTATGCTGTACAAGATCTTTTGCTCTTGCGTAAATGTTCCATTAATTGGCCATGTTCTGGTTACATCGGATGAATAACCATGATATTCGCAACCTATATGAGATTTTTAAAAGTAAATTAAATTAATTTAAGGATGAAATATTTTCTTTTTATCTACAAATATCAAACCTGCATCCATCAAAATCATATCTCCGTCCTGAATTATTTGATTGTTGGTAATATAATGAATAATATTAGCGTTTTTACCCGCGGCAACAACTGGTGGATATGCCAAAAATTCTGCACCATTCATCCGACATTCATAATCTACAGTTGCAAACAAATGATGTTCGCTCATTTTAGGTTTCGATATTTCTATAGTTTTGGATATTGCTCTTGAAATGATCTCACAGCTCTTTCTCATTAGATCTATCTCAGATTGTGATTTAATTAATCTGATCCTGTGCATTATATTGGTTGGAGAGACGAGCATTTGACCACCTGTCGTTTTCACTAACTCGCACAACTTTTTGTGTAAATTCGACTGTGCCAAGTCCACAGTGTCACACCAAATGACACTCTTCTTATTCTCATTCATAAACGAAATGAAGAACCGTTCAAACTCTGTTACTGGAAATGCTGCGTCGACGCCAAACATTTTGGGTGCTGTTTCAACTCTGGTTGTAGGGCCATCCCATAATTGGGAATGTTCATCCCGTTGTGTCAAAAAGAGGCTAGTCAAGAAGCTTTCGTCTTTTACAGTAATTACTAAAATACCATTAGGCTCTTGACAACCAGTGAAATACAAAAAGTCAGTATTTTGACGAAAAACATATGGAATTTTGTCAGACATGTACACTTTGGACGAGGAAGGAATCACGACAATGTGTGATTTGCCTGAATTCGTGACGCAAGCGTGCAAAACAATATTTTCTACCAACTTGTTCCGTCTCTCTTTGAACTCGCAAAGCTGTATACCAGGTACAACTTCTCCATCTTTTACCAAGTGAGGATGTGTCGTTGCTGTCGGTTGGCCGCATGGTCGAGAGAAAGCGTCCGACGACTCCTTAGACTGTCGCTGATTCAAATTATTCGCGACAGTGTCTAACGAGTGTCGTATGTACGTTCGTTGCCCTAAAATTACAACGAACACTACTATGAGAACATTTCGTATTTGCAAAACATAACCTAACACGCATGTGTGGAGGAGATATAGTTTATCTTATTTGTCATTGCTTTTATGTCTTTTATTTCTCACCATATTTTTTTACTTGAAATACAAGAGAGTTTCTCATACTGTTAAACATGTCAATGTAATTTTAATCAGGATGTTTAAATGTATCGAACGTCTCGGCTGCTAGAGCGAAACCGTGTACCACCGCGCCATGTTATTCAGTGGCTAACGCGTAGAGTTGACTCGCGTAGTGGTTTCGCAAATTATACACAACGCATCCATTCCGAACTATACTGCCGTGACAATCGCAATGTAACCGTTTTGGCTGAAATCGAAGTAGCAGGCTTGACGCAGCACCTACGTTCCTTCGCATTGTTTATCGCGGCTCCATGTCTAACGTTAGGGTCGCTGTTTTACGATCGATACGCAGTCAAAGATCATGTGACGTTTTGAGAAAAATTGAAGTTGATGAGTAGTCACGATCGAACGTCGTTGCACCGAACGTACGTACGAGTTTGAGATAAATAAATGAGTGACAGTTTCGATCGCACGCGGTACAGATCGTGGTTCGTAAGGAGAAAAGCAGTTTCACGTGACGGTACCGAAGCGAAAGGTAACCGTCAGTTCGCACGATGATCGATCATTTTGTTGCAGAGCGAAGTGACAACTGGCAAACCCTTCGAACCTGCCTGTTCCAAGAAATCGAAGATGTTGCTTCGCGAATCACCGGCAACTCCTCGAAATTAAAATACCCGTCTGTTCGATCGAAGTTGGAGACTTTTCGTTCAAGAGAGTGTACAGAATAATAACGAGGGTTACACGATACGTTTATGCAGTGATTGACAAAAATAAAACGTTGTTTCGTACAGCGTAGACGTTTAGTTACGAATCGCAATGTAAAAAGTTTAGTTCAGCCTCGAGATTGTATTTTTTAGAATTTTATAGATTAAAATTGAATAATATTTGGATATTTGGTATATATACATATACATATACATATATATATATATATATGTGTATATAATCGGAAAATTAAGATGAGCATTCAATTCGATATTACAATGAGGCCAGAAATCCGCCTGGACGCGAAATGGCTGAAAACAGATTTGAAACGTCTGCTCTATCGAGACGGTTTGGCTGAACTGTGGAATGAAATGGTACGCGATGGAGAAATTGTTGATTCCTTTAGCGATGGCCTGGTCAATGCTGCGGGTGTAATAGCTAGGAAAGGTACGAATAAAGAAGTCTTTCGAATTTAACATTAATCATTTATACCAAACTAGTATATATATTGATACTGGCTGTACCTATTATTTAGGTGAAAGCGGTCATTATTATTGTAACATGGGTGTGTTGACATGTCCTTGTTGCAACGGGATTTGTGGCCCGCAGAATGGTTGCAACTGTGGACCTTGTCAAAAATTAGACGAAGAGGAAGCCGCAAGGACAAACGTATCTGTAGAAAAAAGCAAATCAGCCGAACAGATAATGGACTCTTGGCTTTGGGGTTCTCAGCCATGTAAAGAACTTTTCGTTTTCAAGCAGTGAAACTTTTGCTTTAAATATTATCAAGTTTAATAATTAATTTACAATATCTTCTTATCCGTACTTTCATAACCATTTTGAAACATTTTTTCCAGCTATTTGCGATCTGACAACCTGCATCAATTTGCTGATCAAAGAGCAGAGGAAATTGTGCTACGAAGTTGCAAACAGTACCTTGTCTGCTACACGGTTAAGGCAACGTTTGGTGGTAGCGAGACGATACTTTACCGCTCTTTCTCGTCATAAGCCGCAGGAAACCAAAGATGTCTCAACAACGTCGAAACCTACCTCCAAGTTACAAAAAATGTACAATCATCACTCCTTGAGATTGAAGTAGTAGAGAATTGTTTAAACGTTTCGTGTATCGAGAATGTGTACACGTATTTATATTGTAAGGATTATCCGTGTGTGATTGTGTGAATCGATGGTCATTATTTATACTCGTACTTAACTAGTAACGATTAAATGATATTTCTAACAGTCTTTTATACATCGTTCAGAATATGTGTATACATGGCATTTATGTAATTTCAGCGTAAGGCCGAATGAGAAGCCGACATTAGGTTTAGCGCGCGTAGGATCTCGCGCAGCGTTAAACTTTTCGTTCGCGTATTTAAGACGGGCTTGGAGATCCGGAGAAGACGTAGAATTTTGCAGCGAGCTTTTATCCGAGTCGCTGGAGGCTTTACAATCTTTGCCCGAAGCCACACTTTTCGACGAGACTAACGTGTCTCAAGTATGGCTGGAAGTGGTAGAAAGATCAGCGAAATTTTTGAGACAAGTTGTCACAGGGTATTTGTTTTTTAAGATTCATTTCACTATTTGTCGCCACTGTATGTTGATTCAGCGATCAGTGAGGTATCTTGTTACGTATAATTTTACTTTTTCAGGGATATAGTCAGTGGAAGATCGTGGTGTCCGATCCCAATATCCGATCAGCACACGGCTCTCTGTTTGTTATTGGAACTGGTGACGCAGAGAGCCACACTGTCCAGTTTATTGGACTCTGTGTGTTTGTTACTACATCTGAGTGGGAAGCACAAACATCAGGACAACCGAGTGATGCCACCGGGAAGCACGGCGCCGTTGATACCATTATTGAGACGGCTGAACATGATACCAGCTTCCAAGTCGAGACGAACAGACGTGAATCAGATGGTGCCAGGCCCCTGCGAGGTCCTGCTCAAGTATCTGAGACTTCCCGAGGACGATTCCACGTCGGTGGACCTGCGAAAGGCCGCTGTTATAATAATGTGCAACCTGAGCAGGTTGGCTGCCCCTCTGTTGCCTCCGATCGTTACCGACAGATTCCAGAAGAATCAGAGTCAAACGTTCCAAGAGGTTCTTGCTTGGGGAAGCGTGAAATTCGGCAACGGCTCCTCTCCGTTTTACTGCGACGCGATCGCCGAGCTTGGCATCAAGCAACTCTGTTGCACCGAGAGAGCTCTGATGATTCTGTCGATCAATGGGAACGTTTACATGATGTACTACGGGTCGGAGGCCCAGTACCCCCAAAGAGTGTACGGATTCTCGGAGAAGCCGGTGACGATGATCGCCTCTCACTCGGACGGCACGCACTACCTGGCGTTAACGCAGGACAGCTCGGTTTATTCGTGGGGGAACGGCGACGGTGGACGTTTAGGTCACGGAGATAGGGCGTGGTACGACGAGCCGAAGCTGATCGAGGCGCTGGTGGATAAGAACATAACGTTCATAGGTTGCGGCAGCACGTACTCGGCGGCTCTCAGTTCCAACGGCGAATTGTACACGTGGGGACGAGGGAATTACGGAAGATTGGGCCACGGAAGTTCGGACAACGTTTCGACCCCGACGTTGGTCACCGCTCTGAACGGCCACATGGTCGTGTACGTGGCGTGCGGTAGCGGCGACTCGCAGACGCTGTGCGTGACAGCGTCCGGCATAGTGTTCTCGTGGGGCGACGGGAACTACGGGAAGCTCGGCAGAGGAGGCTGCGACGGGTCAAAGACGCCAAAGATAGTGGACAAGCTGCTGGACATAAACGTAGCGAAAGTGTACTGCGGCGGCCAATTCTCTGCGGCTGTGACCGCGTACGGCGAGGTGTACACCTGGGGCAAAGGAGAGGCTTATCGGCTGGGACACGGCAACGAGGAGCACGTTAGATACCCGCAGGCGGTGGACGCGTTGAAGACGAAGAAAGTGAAGGAGCTGTGCGTGGGCAATTTGCACGTATTGGCGCTGACCGAGGATCAATTGGTGTACGGATGGGGTAGAAACGATTACGGTCAGATAGATCCGGCGTTGGGCACGGTGGTGCCGGAGCCGACCCTTTGTCCAACCTTGTCCGGCAAGAACGTGATCGGGCTGGCCTGCGGGCCGACGCAAAGTTTCGCCTGGTGCACGTCAGCCTGGTCGGTGGCGAGCAGGGTGGCCTTCGTTGTAGACATCTGCGAGGAGACTTTCCGACTGTTGGACACGTTGTTGAGCAAGGTGTGCGAGGGATTGCCGGGCACACGGCCGCCAACTCAGGATCGTGAGTGTCTGGCGGTGGCGACGTTGAACTTGATCCGACTGCAACTACACACCATGATCACGCACAACATGGACGGCAAGTCGATCGGATTGTCGAACACGCCGTTGTTGAACTCGCTGAAGCAACGATGCGTCATGCTGGCAAGCAGCGCCGGCATTCTGGTGACCATCCAAGAAGCGGCCCAGGCTGTCTTGCAAACCGGTTGGAGCATCCTGCTGCCCACGGCCAACGAACGGGCGAGGACGTTGTCGAATTTCCTGTTGAAGGCGTACTGCAGCAGTTTCGAGCAGCAGATAAACGCGAGCAACGGCCAGCAATTCATGGCGGACTTGCTGGTCTCCAGCTTGATGGCGGACGGTGGTCTGGAGTTGGCGTTGAAAACGGCGGTGAGGACGGAACAGAGCGAGCTAGCGGACGAGGACTTCCTCGCGAGCAACGTGAGCAACGCGAACAACGCGAACAACGCGAGCAACAAGTCGTCGACCGACACAAAACAGGCGAAGGAATTGAACTCGGAGAAGAACAACACGAGCATCTCGTTGCTGCAGCTGGTGAAACAGCTGATCAAGAACGGCAGCTGCGTCACGCAGTCGAGGTTATTGGTCGTGGGGCAGCAATTGCTCCGCAACAACGGCACCTCGGAAGAACGACAGCAGCAGAGGAACGACAACTCGCCCAGCTTGAATCTTCTCTTGAAGTTCCAACGGCTGCTGATCGCTCAGGTGTACGAGTGCGTGGACGAGTGCGTCGAGATGACGAAGAAGACGCGCGACCAGGAGATGTTGTTCGGAGCGGAATCGCTGTTGAAGAAGTACCTCTCGCACATTTCCATCCACGTGACCAACATAATGTCGTCGGCGGTCGAGCTGGCCAACACCGGCATCAAGCAATTCGTATTCGTCGCCACGGTTCTCCGAGGGGACATCGTGAACGTTTTGCTACCGGAGCTGGTCACTTGCCTCATTCTATTGCAACTCGATTACCCGTTGCTGCTCCTCAACACCAACTGGATGGAGGTGATGACGCCGATGTTGGATGCGCTCGATCGGTTCAACAAGCTGGTGCCAACGATCGAGAAGAGCGAGACGGACGACCTTTCTTGGCCGGGGATCATAGCTCCGCAGCACGGCAACAAGATATCGTCCGTGTCGGACGAACCTTGGACCATCCGTTGGGCCGACTTGGAGAACCACAATCGCGACGGTGGCCTGTGGGTGGTGGTGAACAACAAGGTGTACGACGTGCAGGACGTCGTTCGGTTCGACGAGAGGTCGTCGAACCACTCGTTGCAGGAGGATCTTCAGAGATGCGTCGTTCAGAGCGGCTGGGAGGTGGTTTCCGGCTCGGCGGCCACCGAGACGAACGTGTCGACGTCTCGCGGCCAGCTGCCGCGGACCATGATGGACTCTTACTTCGTCGGCCACTATTGCCACCACTCGGAGCCGGAAGGAACCACGGAGATCACCATCGACGTGACGGACGTGTGCTCCTGCCTGCTCGACACCGAGAGGGCCTTGGGCTTTCTGCTGGGGCTGCACGCGCACCGGATGCGGCAGAGTTTGCCGCTGCAAACGGCCGAGGAGGAAGCCGGTCGTTGGTTGAACGCCAACTTCCTCAGGGGTGGGCTGCAAGTGTTGCAGCCGCCGAATCCGTACGAGGAGGAGAAAGGGGAGGCGAGGAGCAACACCTCGACGGCCGCCAATTCGCCGACGGAACCACCGCTTCCCCACCACCACAACCACAACCACAACCACAACTACCACCACCACCATCACCACCACTACTACGTCCGCACGAAGAACGAGCTGCTGCTGCAGAAGGAACGACGACGAGAGGAGGACGACCGAGTCACCGCGTTCATCTACACACTGGCCGACTCGGCTACTCACAGGACCGACTCTCAAGTCCATTCCTTCTTGACGTTGGTCGACAAATACTCAAAGGCGAACAACCTTCTGGCGCACACCGAGTTCTCCGGCGAGCACCCGGTCGAGGAGGTTGGCCGACTCTTGACGGCCGTCATGGTGAAGCACCTGGCCCTCGGTCACCAGGTGATGAACTTGATCGACCATCACGAGGCGGGGAAAGACGGGGAGAGCAGCTGCCCGAAACTGACGAAACAGTTGGCCGAGGTGATCAGAGCGGTTCATCAGACCAAGTGGAACTTGATCAGGATCCGGCAACAACAGAACAGGAGCTACAAGGAGGTGTGCGCCCCGGTGCAGGAGAAGTGCAGGTTCCTCTTGCACGAGGTGAGATCCGCCACCAGTTACGAGATCAAGGGGCTTCAGGATTTAAAGTTGCTGTACACCGTGTCGAAGTTCCGCAGAACGGTGAGAACGGTGATCAGGGACATTCGAAAGAGCAGGGACTCGACCGAGCGGCCGAGCAAGCCGGAGGACATTTTGAACGCTTCGATTCAGAGCGCCAAGACTGCGAGGAACAAGTCTGACGAGGATGTGTCGATCGCTTCCTTGACGACGACGACGACGACGACGATGACGACGACGACGACGATGGCGACGGCGACTACGGCGACGACCATGACTTTGATGACGACGACGACGACGACGACGATGTCAACGACAACGGCGGCAACAGCAGTAGCGACACCGACAATGGCGGCGATGACTACAACGATCTCGTCGACGACAACGTCAACACCGACACTCACGACGGTGACTACGATGGCTACGATGACTACCACAACGACAGCGGTGGTGACGACGACGACGACAATAACAACGCCAACAACAACAACGATAACGCCAACAGCGATAACACCAACGTCGACACCCACGCCGACAGCGACGACGACGACGACGACGACGACGATAACGTTGACACCGACGCAAACGTCCACGCCAACCTCGGTGTCACAGATCTCGCAGAGTTTCGCGCAAAAAGGAGTGGAAAACTCGTCAACGACGGGCAAGAAGAAGAGGAACAAGGCGAGCGAAAGGGCGAGGCAGAGGACTCTGAACATCGACTCGAACGAGCTGATGGCGAACATGATAAACTTCGTGATAACCGAGGACAGCGGCGACGTGGAGACGCTGCGTCGAGCGATGTACTGCCAGATGCAGCGGGCAAAGCTGCGCGAGCAGGGGATCCTGATGATGCAGCAGCTGCTGAAGAAGGATTACGTGGTCACGTCGGTAAAGTACTCGTTGCTGAACGGTTGGCTCGGCCTCTCCCACGAGAACAAGTCATTGGCCGAGGGGATAACGCACTGCCTCGAGGAGATTCGGTCGGTGACGCCTTACCAAAAGTCGAAGATCATCCTGGCCGAGGCGGAGATCACCCGTTGGGCGGTGCAGGCGTTGCGAGCGTACGTGGTCCAGGCGGAAGTGCCGAGCAATCCAGCAAGGGCAGCAGCAGCAGCCAACAACAACAACAATAACAACAACAACAACAACAACAACAAGATGAGCGACAAGAGCAGCGTGAACCAGGGGACGTACACCTGGCTGCGAAAATTGCCGAGGGCACGGTTCTTGCTGACGATACTGGGCATGCTGACCAACTACCAACATGCGAACGAGATCGGCTTGCTGATCAACACTGGCTGCGTGTCGAGCGTGTTGACGCTGCTGAGGCAGATCGGGCCGTCGTCGAACTCGACGTTCGACGATGCCGCCGACGCGGATGGGAGCGGAAAGGGAGGAGGGGGAGGGGGAGGAGGAGGAGGAGGAGGAGGAGGAGGAGGACCGAAGGACGCGCCGGTCACGGTCATCTACGAGGACAGTCTGGAGAAAAGCAAGCCGCAGAGCGTGCAACTGACCGGCATGGAGCTGGCCGCGTTGATGAAGATCGGGACGAGAGTGGTGCGCGGCGTGGACTGGAAGTGGGGCGACCAGGACGGTCCCCCGCCGGGCGAAGGTCGAGTGATCGGGGAACTCGGCGAGGACGGCTGGATTCGCGTGCAGTGGGACAACGGGGCGACCAATTCGTACCGCATGGGCAAGGAGGGCAAGTACGATCTGAAGCTGGCAGAGCCGCCGACACCGCCGGAAACCGACAGCGAGGTCGACTCGCCGGCGATGGAGTTGGTGACGAAAGCGAACGACAAGAAGAAGAGGAACGACTCGGCGGCAATGGTGGAGGTGCATCCGACCACCTGCCTGAAATCCGCCTCGGTCACGGTGCTTCGCGTTCTCTTGTTCTGCTGCGGCATCGAGGCCGACCGCGTCACCCCCTCGGCCATAAAGACACTGGCCTCGGTGTTGCGCGGCATCCTCTCCGTCGCGTACAATCGCCAGCTGAACGCGCGCTCGCAGCTCGCGCGCGAACACCACGAGACCTGGGCGACTCTTGGCTCGTTGAGAGCCATCGCCAAGTCCACCGAACTCTGCAAGTCCCTCAGCACCAAGGCCTGGCTCAACTTCCTCCTCAACATCATCGCCGAGCAAGCGAATCCCAACCTGGAGAAGCAGATAATGGCGGTGCGTCTGCTGACCGCGGTTCTCCCCTCGTGGGAGAACGCCGACATCCCCAGCCAGATGCCATTGCTCGAGAGGATCTTTCGCATAATGGGCCACGTGGCGCTCTGCTGCAACTTGGCGGCTGGCGGCGGCGGCGGTGGCGAGCTTTACTCGAACAAGTGCCGCGTCTCGTTGACCGCCTCGCACAGCTCGACCGTGGTCGAGGAGCTCGTGTCGCTCGTCAGATACCTGCACTCCCTGCCAAAGTGGAACGCCACGGTGAACGCGTTCCTCGCCTCGAAGCTCTCCCTCGCTGCCGACCTGTTGAGCGACGGCCCGCTGTTTCACATACAGCTGAACGAGAACGGCGGCGAGAACAGCGTCAACATTCAAGACACCGTGATGGCGGCTCTGATCGTGCTCGGCGGTCTGGACGACAGGCCGAGAATCGGCGGCCTGGTCGAGGTGGACGGACAGCTCGCCACCGTCTGTAGATTCACCAAACGTTCCAAGATTTTGGTGCAGATGCACGACGACAACACGCGCAAGAAGCTGCCGTTCTTCGGCGTGAAGCCACTCGGCGAGAAGTTTCGGCTGGACCGGATGCCCATGCCGGACTCGTTCGTCTCCACTTGGGTCAGCTTGCTGCTGGGTCATCGGGCGATGGACAAGAGGCCGAACGGCATGCCGGTGATCGCCGGCTCGGTGAACGCGTCCATCCTGCGCAGCCAGCAGCAGCAACTCGCCGCATTGAACGCCGGCAAGATTCTCTTGGATCATCAGACAAAGTTGAGGAAGATATTGAGATGCGCGATCGACAACGGTAACAGCTGCACCAACAGCAGCAACAGCAACAGCAGCAGCAGCAACAGTAGCAGCAGCAGCAGCAGTACCACCACCAATAACAACAACAGCAGCAACAATAACAACTATCACAACTATCAGCACAGCCAGCAACACCAGCAGCAACATGATCATCGTCATCATTACCATCATCACCATCATCATCATCGTCATCATCACCACCACCACCACCACCACCATCATCAGAATCAGCAGCAACAGCATCATCAGCATCATCATCATCATCATCATCATCATCATCGTCGTCACATCGACGAAGAGAGCATCTGCGACTTGAACGGTCGACAATGGGTCGACAAGGACGGCGTGAAATGTCCCACGATCGCTGTTTGCCGTAGCGAGCGGATCGAGGACGACAACAACGACGAGCCTGAGGACGACAACAATGAGGAGGGGAACGGCGGCGGCGACGACAACGACGAGGAGGAGGAGGAGGACAACGGCGACGATGGTGACGACGACGACGACGACGACGATAACGACGACGACGACGACGATGTGAACGACGAGGATGACGAGGCGAAAAGTGGTGGCAAAAGCAACGAAAACAAGAACAAAAATGGCAGCAATAACAACAATGGCAGCGGCAACAACTATAACTACAACAACAACAACAACGACGACAACGATAAGTTGGAGAACGTCGGAGGAAGCGAGATGGTGAAAAGTTGTCAGAGCGATGGTCAGAGAGACGGTCAGTGTCACGAAGTGAATCTGGCCGTCAACGGAGGGGAGCAGACCGTGGTGGACAGTTATACGGGGGACGGTGGGGGGATAGGAGGAGACGGTTGTCGCAACAGGAAGCGAACAACCTTGTTCCAAGAGATGCTGATACGAGCCACGAGGCCGCAACCGTTGAAACCGATATTCAAGCGCAAGGAACTGGAAGAGGCGGCTCTGGCGGTTTCTCAGTACCTCGCTTCCGAGCTGAGACACTCGCCGATTCGAGGTGCCGCAGCGTCGATGACGACGATGACGACGACCACGACCACGACCGCGACGACGGCCACGACAACGGGAATGGGAATGGGAATGGCGTCGGCGTCGGGCGTCTCGGAACCTGATTCCCCGGCGTCCGACTGTTGTTCCCTGGTGTCGTTGACGTCCAGCCAGAAGAAACACTGCAAAAGCAGCGGACGAAAGAGTCCACCGGCGATGAGCCCGCTGGTGGCGCAACTCACCGAGATGGGCTTCCCGAAGAGGAGCGTGGAATTTGCGATCAAGAGCCTGAGCACGGCGACGGCTGTGCTGATCACGGCGGAGAGCGTGGTCGCCTGGTTGCTGGAGAACCCGGACGCCGCGTTGAGCGACAGCGAGACGTTGTCCAGCGTGTACGGGCTGTCCGATCCGGAGGAGGACTCGAGCAGCGAGAACATGGACGAATCCCTGTCGACGCACGACGCGGCGATAGCCTCCTCCTCGACGGCAACGACGACGACGACGACGACGACGGCGGCAACGACGGCGGCGCCGACGACGACGATGATGATGATGATGATGATGCCACCCAACTACATGAAACGCTCGGACTTCCTCTCGGTGGACGAGTACGCGATCTACGTGAGGGACAACCTGACGGCGGGCATGCTGGTGCGGTGTTGCAAGAGCTACGAGGAGGTGGAGTACGGCGACGTCGGCCAGGTGATCAAAATCGATCCGGAGGGTTTGCACGATCTGAACGTTCAGGTGGCTTGGCAACGGAAAGGCGGCACCTACTGGGTCCGGTTCATTCACATAGAGCTGCTTGGCCATCCGCCGACGATACCGGGCGGCGGGGGGCCGGCCACGCTGAAGATCGGCGACAAGGTGCGGGTGAAGGGGTCGGTGGCGGTGCCCAAGTACAAGTGGGGCTCGGTGAACCATCAGAGCGTCGGCGTGATAACTGGCATCATAAACAACGGGAAGGACGTGTCGGTGGATTTTCCGCAGCAGAGCGGTTGGACCGGCTGCGCGATCGAGATGGAGCGAGTGCCCTCGTGCCATCACTCGGTCTCGTGCAACTCGTGCCACCTGCTGCCGATATCCGGGCCGCGTTTCAAGTGCAAGTACTGCGAGACGTACAACCTCTGCGAGAACTGCTTCTACACGAAACGGTGCCACCGGCACGGCTTCAATCGGATCGCGGAGCCCGGCTCGGCGGCGGTGTACGCCGGCAAGCCGGGGAGATACCACAGGCAAGACTACGCGGCCGAGTCGTCGTCCTCGTTGATCGACGACTGGTCAAAGTGCGTGCGAACGTTGAGCGTCTCGTCGCGCGAGAGCTGGGCGACACGGCTGGTGGACGAGTCCGGCCTCTACTGGCAGAGTTGCGGCTCCCAGGGCAAACACTGGATTCGCATGGAGATGCTGCCGGGCATACTGGTCCACTCGCTGAAGATCACGGTGAACCCGCAGGACAGCAGCTACATGCCGTCGCTGGTCGCGGTGAACGTCGGCGAGTCGTTCAACGGTCTGGTCGAGTTGGCGACCATCAGCGTCCGACACACCGACACCAGCGTCCTCCTCCTCCAGGACAGCAAGGAGTACTACCCGTGCATCGAGATAGCGATCAAGCAGTGCCGAAACGGCGGCATAGACTGCAAGATACGCGGCTTGCAGATCATCGGCAAGAGGAAGACGTTCGAGAATCAGTTGACCACGTCTGTCTCGTTTCTCGCCTCGGACTGGGAGATTATCCAGGAGCAGATGAACAACACGCCGCCGCAGCGGGCGGCAGCAGCAGCAGCAGCAGCAGCAGCAGCAGCAGCAACAACAACAACGACGACAACGACAACCTCAACAACCGAACAAACAGCAACAACAACGTCGCAGCAGCAGCAGCAGCAGCAACACTCGGCCGTTTACGTCTGGGGATTGAACGACAAGGATCAGCTCGGCGGGTTGAAGGGATCAAAGATCAAGCTACCGATTTACAGCGAGGTTCTCTCCAAGTTGAAACCGGTTCACATCGCCGGTGGCAGCAAGACATTGTTCGTGGTGAGCCACGAGGGGAAACTGTACGCCTGCGGAGAGGGGACGAACGGTCGGCTGGGTCTCGGCGACGACAGCAACGTCTGCGAGCCGAAACCGATCCCGTTCCTCAGCCAATACGTGGTGAAGAAGGTGGCAGTGCACTCTGGCGGGAAGCACGCGCTGGCCTTGACCCAGGACGGCAAGGTGTTCTCGTGGGGCGAGGGAGAGGACGGGAAGCTCGGGCACGGGAACTCGGTTTCGTTGGACAAGCCGAGGCTGATCGAGTGCCTGCGACTGAAGAGGATACGGGACGTGGCGTGCGGCTCCGGCCACTCGGCCGCGATAACCAGCAGCGGGGAGCTGTACACGTGGGGCCTCGGCGAGTACGGCCGACTGGGCCACGGCGACACGGCCAGCCAGCTGAAGCCGAAGCTGGTGCAGTCGTTGGTCGGCCAGCGAGTGATACAGGTGGCGTGCGGCAGCCGGGACGCGCAGACGATGGCGTTGACCGCCGACGGCTCGGTCTACTCGTGGGGCGACGGCGACTTCGGGAAGCTGGGTCGCGGCGGCAGCGACGGTTGTTACACGCCGCTCTTGATCGACCGACTGAACGGCCTCGGTGTGGTGCAGATCGAGTGCGGCGCTCAGTTCTCCCTCGCGTTGACCAAGTACGGCGAGGTGTGGACCTGGGGCAAGGGCGATTACTTTCGGCTGGGTCACGGCAACGACCATCACGTACGCAAACCGACCATGGTCGAGGGCCTTCGCGGCAAGAAGGTGATACACGTGGCGGTCGGGGCGCTTCACTGCCTGGCGGTGGCCAGCACCGGCCAGGTGTACGCCTGGGGCGACAACGACCACGGCCAGCAGGGAAACGGCTCGACCATCGTCAACAAGAAGCCGTCGGTGGTCCACGAGCTGGACGACGCCAGAGTGAATCGGGTCTCTTGCGGCTCCAGTCACAGCGTCGCCTGGGTATTGACCGACCAGCCGGCCGCCAAGAATCAAGAACCGGTCATGTTCCCCACCGCCAAGGATCCCCTCGGTCAAACGTCCCTCAAGTTCAAGGGCAGTGGTGGTAATAGCAGTGGGACGGAGATCGGCGTCAGCTCGAAGACGAGCCATCATCCCTCGCTTCCACCGGCCAGCACCGGCGACACGGTCCTCCTCGTCAACCAGAGTTCCGTCGGTGGGGGGACGACACCGTCCTCCTCCGGCAACCGGCCGTCCCTCTCGAGGATCATCCTGTCGCTCGAGAGCAACGTGGCGAAGCAACAGGCGTTGCAGCACGTGATCAACGCTCTTCGCATAATACAAGCTCGAATCATCGTGGTGACGGCGTTGCGGAGTCATCATCACGCCTCCTCGACGTTGAAGTCGACGTCC